TGAAAAGCGAAGGAAAATCAAAACTTCTTGTTTCAGATTAGTTCGTAAAAGTCTTTGATCAAAGAAAAAGGGACCATTGTCAGAGAAAAAGGGCACGATTAAGGGCGCGAAAAGGACAGAAAGTTTGGTGAGTGGCTTTATGTTGTCAATAAAATTCATTTTTCTATCATTCTTTATGGATTTTTGAGTTTTCTTCAAAAATGTTGTTCTTTTGTGTCCCACCAATTGTGTCCCACCATCAGTGTCTCATGTTATTGGAAGATGTTTCCTTCTTTGTGCATTGTGTTGTCTTATTATGTTAGTTTAATTAATTAAGTAATTAATTAATAATATTAATTTATTTGTTGTACAGTAATGGGGGACCAAAGTGGGGGTATTATATGGTTCAATTATGGTGGGCGTTTTGTACAGGGACCACCATTTAGATATGTAGGGGGTGTACGAGAGGATGTTCCATATGATACGGATAGGTTGAATTCATTTATTATTACTGACTATGTTGTTAAACAAGGTTATGATCGAGTTTCAATTAAAGACATTTACTATATGCAACCTTGGATGGATATGCCAGAAGGATTAGTTTCTTGTAATTCAGATAGTGTAATTAGGGAGATGAATGATATAATTTCATATGTTGGCAATGTGGAGTTGTATGTAGACCATGACATCAATATACCTGAGATTGTTGAGGGTCCACTATTGCTCACAAGACCAATACGTAATGATAAGGAAGTGTTAGATGCTGAAGATGAAGGTGACAATAGTGATAGTGATGTTTCTGTGCATGGGGATGAGGGTAATTTAGGAAGTGAAAAAAGTAGTGATCTCAATAGTGGTAGTGATAATGTGACAATTATTGATTGGGAGACAAGTTCAAATGATAGTGCATGGTCATTAGGGAGTGACAACACTGATGATGAGCAAGTCAATATTGCTGAGTTGACTCAAGAGGTTAGGAAGAGAAGGAGAAATGCCATAAGAAGCAATAGAAACAAGGCAAATGTGCATACTGCAACTAGGAATGAGCAAGAAGATGATCATGTTGAAGAACCTATAGTCACTCATGAGCAACCAATTGTCTAGCAACAACAGCAACTTGTAGTCATAGATGATCAAGCTATTATCACAGATGTTGCTGGTATAGAACAAATTGCAAGGGAAACATTCAGTAAAGGTAAAAAAAAAAAAAGAAATGTGTTGCTCAGCATAAAGTGAGACAAGGTGGTGGGAATAGGGTGATAAGAGGTGATCCAGTTGACAACACACAACAACTACCTGTCAGTGATGACAATGGCTTCTTTACATATGAAGAAGACATGGAGTCTGATTATGCCGATAGTGATGATCCTAGTGCTCGGGAATTTCATTGGAATTCAGATGATGAGGATGACATCTTTATGCAACTAGATCATGTTGTTGGCAGAAATGTCTATCAGACCTACTATAACCCAAAATGGAAGGTCCCATATTTTGATATTGGGATGAGGTTCAAAGATGCAAACCAATTTAGAATGGCAGTTTGTAAATACTCCATACAAAAGCAAGCTCAACTGCAAAAGGTCAGAAATGAACGTACTAGGGTGAGGTTCAGATGCCAAACAGGGTGCAAATGGGAGTTGTTTGCCTCTTATGACCCAAAATATGAGTGTTTGTGGTGAAGACATACTATAGGGAGCATAGATGCTTCAAATCTTATGACAATGAGCTTGTAACTTACAAGGTTGTAGCAGATCTTTTTAAAGGAAGGATTTATAAAGCACCATTTACAAAGCCATCCGAGATTGTTAAGTGGTGCAAGACTAAAATTAAAGGGAACATCACACTTGACAAGGCAGAAAAGGCAAAGAAGCATGTTATGACACAATTGGATGGTAGCTATGTTGATGAATATAAATACTTGAAGAGCTACACCAAAATATTGAAGGAGAGCTATCCAGAGAATACTGTTGGTGTCACTGCCATTGAAACAAGTTATAGTGAAACTAGAACTTTCCATAGAATGTATGTTTGTTTGCATTCCCTAAAACAAGGTTGAAAGGATAGGTGTAGAAGGTTCTTTGGTGTTGGTGGCTATTTCTTGAAGGGAATATGCAAGGCAATTATGCTATCTGTAGTTGGGAAAGATGGGAATAACCAGATGTTTCCAATTGCTTAGGCAGTAGTGGAGTCTAAATGTCTTGAGTCATGGCAGTGGTTCTTTGAACTACTGAAAACTGATTTAGATCTTGACAGTGGTGCAAGCATAACAGTTATGTTAGATGAATATCAGGTGAACACATCAGTAGTTTTTATTTATTTATTTATATGCATTTATTTTTAATTATTAATACTTTATGTTAATTGTTGTGAAATTACTCATTATTGTTGTTATTGGTTTTAATTATTGGTATAGGCTATAATATCCACTATAGAGTTAATATTACCAAAGGCTGAGCATAGGCATTGTGCAAGACATATTTATTGCAATTGGGCAAAGTTGGGTCATAAAGGTGATGAGATGAAGATCTGCTTCTGGAATTGTGCAAAGTCAACATTTGAGGATGATTTCATTGATAGGTTAAGTGATTTGTTTGCAAAGAACAGGCAAGGACATGATGACTTGTTAAGGTACCCTAGAGAGCATTGGTGCAAAGCATTTATCCAAGATAATTGTAAATGTGATTCAATTGACAACAACATTTGTGAAACTTTCAACTCTTGGATACTAGGGGCAAGGTGTAAGGTAATAATTAGAATGAATGATAAAATTAGGGATCAATTGATTCTTGGGATAGTTGATAAAAGGCAGTTTGCAGAAAATGGCTTGAAGGTCATGATATTGCTCTTAGAATCAGAAAAAAGCTTGAGGAACTGAAGGCAAAGTCACAGGGATGTAGTGTGCAGCCAAATGGGGTTAATGAGTTTGAGGTCAATGATGGTAGGGATCGGCATGTTGTCAAATTTAATGACAAAACTTGCACATGTAGATACTGGCAACTCTCGGGGGTTCCTTGTCCTCATGCTTTGGCTTGTATAAGGTACAAAAGGTGGAGAATAGATGATTACATTTCAGATTTTTATAAGAAAGAAAAATATTTGGCTACCTATGCATTCCCTTTTCAATGCATAAGGAAAGGGACAAAAGCATGGAAGGCTGTGGGTGAAGAAGAGTTGTTACCACCACCTATTAAGAGCATGCTAAGGAGGCCTAGGAGAAAAAGAAGAAGACATAAAGGTGAACCATAAAAGATCAAGAAAGGGAAGCTTAGGAAGCTTACTAGAAGAGGGAGAAAAATGGCATGCAAGGTGTGTGGCAATGAAGGGCACAATTGGAGAACATGCCCATCTAACAATGCAAAAGGCAGAAATGAAAGTGCAGGAGTGAAAATTACTATAAGTATGATTACTTTTGGTTGGTAAAAATATATACTTTTTTTTTTTTGATTATTTAGTTGGTGGTTGAGGATATTTTTCCCTTTGAAACTAGATTTCTCTCCTATGAATTTAGTGGATGCTTGAATGAACATGCTTTAAAACTGTTTTTTGGTTGCAGGGTCAAAACAAGAGAAAGAAATAAAGAGGTGAAGGCACCTCAACCTCAAGTAGCAAGAAAAAGAAGGCAAGGGTCCCTACAGCCACATGGAGTTTTATTCTATGTTTGAAACCATATTCCTTTTTTTTTTTATATAAGTTTTATAGTTAGATTGTTAATAAAGTAAATCACCGTGCATGTTGAATGATGTAGGGTGTTGATGCTGCTACTAGTAATGTGCCTGCAAGACCTACCACAAGAAAAGGCAGAAGGCAATGAGAAGGCCTGAATATTGCTTTTTAAATGGAAATGCTTTGTTAGTTTTTTATTTGCAAAGAACAGTGGTGATTTATGGTTTTGGTTTATTCAAATTGTGACCAAATAGGTTAAACCAATGCCATGTCCTTATCTATGTAGCTTATATCAGTGAATGACCAAAAACAGTAGTTTATATGGTCATATGGATTCTGTATTTTGTATATTTTGTAATAGTAAATTACGAAAACAACACTTAATGTATGGCCAAATAGGGGATTTGGTTTTGTATTTTTCTTTCAATGAATGGAAGAAAATGGAAATTATTATTACAAAGGCTTTATGTATGGATACCTTGTTTGCAAACAAGTCATAGTGATGTACGCAACATAACAAGGCATTTCACTTCATTTAGATAATTTTTTTACCAAATTGGGTATAACTTTTGGCCATTGCCAAACTTACATGAAATGCCCAAAAGCACACATAACCACACTCAAATTTCCAACATTCTACCAAAACAAAAAGTTTAGAATTGCCAAATTCAAAAAGCAAAGTGCAACAATAACACATCCAAGTTGATAGAATGCAGTTTGCATTTTCTTTTCCAATAAATTCTCTATTTCATGCACCCTATTGTCCACCCTATCAATTTTAAACAGTTGCTCACAACCAACTTCTTCCATTGGCTGATTAGTTACAATTTCCTCTATACCCTCGTTCACACTAACACTTTACCTTTGCCTCGTTTGCTCAACATCTTCCTCATGACTACACTTCAACTGCTTCCTTAGCTCAGAATTTTCCTTTAACAGTTTCTTCCTTTCATTATAGAGGTACCAAATAACATCTTTGGCCCTTTGGGTGAAGTTTGTATCATGCCACACAAAGTAATCACACTCCTTCGACACATTCTTTTTCTGTAACCAAATTGAGCATACAAAATCATTGTTCAAAACTGAAAGCCATAATAATAATAATAATAATAATAATAATTTTTTGAAAGTGAAACCCACCCTAAAATCTAGACATCCATAAAGGCAACAACTTGGAGTTGAGTCATTCCATGCAGTCCATCATGGAGAAAACTTACCACAGTCGTAATGGCGGATGGGTGGTGGGTAGTCGTACTCGGGAATACCATCATATAAGATGAAAGGAGGACGGCCAGATGAAGTCGATGCATCACGTGAAGTAGAACCTCGTGAGTAGGTACTCAACATTTCTCTCTTAGCATAAATTGTGGTTAGGTTCAAGAGAAAACAGTGAAAGAGGAAGTTCGTGGAAAGCTCGGTAAAGATTAAGATGAAAACAAACCCTAAATCCCCAAAATGGTTATGTAGATTTGTTTTAAAAGTCCCGTGTGCAGTGGGCCCTACTGCACACATGGCAACCACGTGTGCAGAAAAAAGCCACATCATCAAAAAAGGGATCCAAATTGGATTACTAATGCCACATAATGTCACATCAATTTTTGGGTGCCACGTAGTGCATTTTTTAACGGTGTCGTGATGGCCCATTAAAATATTGAGTTTTTCATAGATTTTGAAAAGTGAAGAGTGTGAATAGGGAGGAAAAATTTTGGAAGGTGTTGACTACAGAAATGACATAAATGGAGGGTGCAAATAAGAGTTTTGGCCAAAATAAAATTTGAATTTTGCAATCATCATCTTGAAACATAATTTTTTAAGAAGTTTAAGTTTCTCCTTAAAATGAAATTGCTCTTTCAAGAACTTTCTTGGCTAAATCACTACTATATATATATCCTAGAATCAAATCTTTAATATTTTTAGCTATATTATCACCTAATTCTTAACACTTGGTAATTATATCAAACCCATATAATTTTTAAGAGAAGAAAAAAGAAATAATGATGAACAAATACTCAAATTAGATTCAAAATTATGTAAGTAATGGAGAAAAGGTTGAAGAGTATGAATTAATGAAGAGAATTACTAATAAAAAAATTAATTAATAATAATTAAATACAATATTTTCTTTTATAATATTAATAATGAACCAAATGGATTAACCATGAATTTGTGGGTTGACCCAAATCTAACTTGTGACTCATATAAGTTAATACCACAAATTATTACTCATATAAGTTTACCACAAGTTATTTACTGGTCATGGATTGGGATACGTAAACCTAACCCATTGTTACTACTCGGGTTAGGGCTAGGTTAATGGGTCGGGTGGCTTTTGGCCACCCCTAATGGCATCCCATCCTAAACCACCCTGAGCCTAGCCATTTGTTCGGTGGCATCTTCAACGTGCTCATCCTTCTACTTCTTCTTTGCCGGCCACCCTGCAAGTTTCTTCCACAGGCTTCTTTCAAGCTATTTTCCTGCAATGTGAAAAAACATAGTATCACAAAATTAAGAACGTGACAATTTCCCCTAGAGTCGTATGCATATGGCTATCTAATTACTTTCATCTCTCTGTGCTTCATTGTTAAATTGTCATCGTCTTCTTCTGCGTTTGTGGATTCAGTTTTTGCGGCCACCGCAACGGCGGAAGAGCTTGTTCTCAACGTGGTGTTTCCGATGTCCAAATCCAGACTCAACTGAACCAAAAAAAAAAAAAGAGGCCAAAATTAAACAGAAAAATGATTTGGATAGATCAGCAGGTATATGCACTCTTACCTTGAGTACTCGATTCTCAAGCGCCGACAGTCGCTCAATCAGGGTACCTTTCCGATTAACTTCCTCCAGCGCAGAGGACAGAGTCCTGGATTCGACTTCTGGTTCCATGAATTCTCCAACAGGCACATCGTTCTTGCAAGATGAATGTCTTTCTTCAAGAGATTTCACCTGCAAATTCAAGATTCCATATCTGTGAATTCTAATCATTTTCTCATTTTTCATGTTGCAGAAATGGTTGCATTACCATTACCAAAAGTTCGAGCCGATCTAATCTTGGGAGAACCCCCTTCTTCTCTAGTCGGTCCATAACTTCTGTTTCACAATCAAAATTCCAAACCCTGCTCTGCTTTAAGACGACAGTTTTCAGACGCTCTTTTCCCAAGTCCACCAAGCATGCATTTTCTGCACCATCCAACTGCATTTACTGCTTGCCCATCTTTTCTTATCAATTTTGGGACCAAAGATAATACAGCAACGTGGATTTTAATATTAGCATACGAGTCTTTAGTGCCAACTGTTTATTCCCATACTTTTTTTGGCCGAACCCCTATTTAATAAGGAGTTTGGCTTTTTCTTTCCTCTTTTTTTTTTTTTAAGCAAAATGATTCATCCACAATCTTATATAAATTTGACTAAATACTTTTAGTTGACTAATTATATAAATTAATAAGTAATTATTATAAAATTTTATAATGAAATAAAATTACATGTGAATAAATAATTATTATAAAATTTTATGGTGAGATAAGATTGTATATGATTGAAGATAAATAGAATATCTCTCGAATCAATTTCTTAACATATTTTAGTCTTAATCTGTTTATTAGGTATGAATGACACCGTTTTTAGGAATCATGAAAATCAGGGATGATTCTGTGATTATTAATTTATTCAGCAAAGTAAAATACAAAATTCATGATGGACCCAATCCGTCCGCCCGTGCTCTCGATCAAATGGCTTTAGCAAACCGTAAGTGATTCCCATTTTGCAATCCATCCTCCGATCAGAACTCTCACTGGCGATGTTCTGCTTGGGAAGAGCAAGTGCCATAGACGATGCCACCGCAATCACTGCAATTCGGATGGTGTTTGCGGTGGTAAACGCTGCTGAAGCCAACGGTAGAAACGACTCAAATAAAAACGCCAGCGCTAATGCAGTTGCCGACTTATATGGGTTTGGAAGCGCTTGCTCTGTTTCACCATCTTCCTGCATTTTCATTTTAGCATCCTCCGCCGCCACCTTCATCACCGGAAACCTTCCAAAAGTAAGGACATTCGACAAACGCAAGTTTGTCTCCACCGGCTTGGTTTCTGGATTTCTCCAACCAGTGACTGCCACCTCAATGTCTCTCTGGGCCGAAACAGAGACAAACTCACCGACAGCCATGCTACAAGCATCCGCAAGAGCTCCGGCTAGTCCAGACAAGATCATGGACTGTCTAACCTCCTCTGCTGCACCTACGCCAAGCATTAGAGAAGTAGTGGAAAGCAACCTATCATTGGCTCCTAAAATGGCCGCGCGAAGCCACTGTGCTCGTTGCAACCACTGAATTCTCTTCCATCTTTGGTCCGAAACAGGGGTGGAACAGGGTTAGAGTACTTTCTGAGAGGAGGCCATGTAGATGTATATAGAGCGAATGGAGTGTGGCCTTCACGTGGATTAGAGTCTGGAGATATATATAAAAAAGAAAAAGGTTTTTTTTTTTTTATATATCTTATCTTGGTTGCATAGACAATCATCTCTTATCTCTTATTTTATTTTACCTGCATATCATGTGACTTGAATTTAGAATTTTTTATTTTCAATAAAAGAAAATAACCACTAAATTATTTAAGTTTGGACAAAAAAACGTGGGGTTTTGATTCCTACATAACCGTCTTTCTTAGGTGGTACCGTGTAATAAATAATACTATGAAACAAGTTTTGCCTTGAGATTTAAGGTGCATGTTATTGGTTCTTCAATACCTAGGGTAGGGTGAAGGAATCAGTAGCCATTGAGGAGGGATAACAATTTGTCAGATTCTTAATTTTCCAAAGCACTTAGCTTCTGAGATCCTCCAATTTGTTTTGGCAAAAGAGGAAATTAATTTCACAAAAACGAATTATTGCAAACGCAATTGTGAGCATATATGGACCATTAGCAAATAGGGTTGACAATACCATACTTGGCCTCTAATAAACTCATTGTATAAGTTTGGATGTTGATTTAATATAATATATAATATTCTATTAAAAATTATTATTTATTTAAAATTAAAAATAAATAAATTTAAATGTATAATTATATATATAATATAAAAAGACTAATTGAATTAGGCTGTACATTTATATTACATTTAAAAAAAAAACTAAATAAGTATTAAAAAATATATATTAAACTAAACATATGTCAATTATTTTTCTAAAAATTTATATATATTCTCTTAATTAATCAACGTGAGATTTTTCACTTTGGCAACAAAGAGTTAAGGAAATTTTGTTAATGGGGAGTATACGTGTGCTATCTAATAACCTGCAAATTTGTCCACAACCAATTGAGTTACAAGCTAATGGGGTCTCCTTGATGTGCCTCCAGCTGAAACGCCCCTCAACTTGATGCCTCTACTGGAGAGAAGATAGAAACAAAATTTCACCCATATCTTTCTCATTCAACTTTATTGTCCACAAAGTTTGATGACTAATATTGACTGAGGTGGAATCGGTTTCACTTTCATTGCCCTGTGCAGCCTATTAGTTGTGACATCTGAATCCCAAAATAGTGCCAGTGTGAATACAAGCATAGAAAGTAGGGACTAGGTGTGACATCAAAATAGTTATCATGTGATATCTTGTTTCTCTTATCAGAACTGATCTAATAGATTAAATGGTTCATTATCAAATTTATGAGTTTGAGTTTAAGTGATTAAGAGTTTTATTTTTATTAATTACTAGTAAAGTTACTCTCTTCTCTCAAATTCTTCATTTAAAAAAAAAAAAAAAAAAAAGGCGCTTGTCCTAACAATACAACCACACTAACGTGAGGTGCTAATTAACATTCCAGGGGCTAAGGCCGTTCTTCATAAATGTAGAAAACACAATTAGTTATATCATGTATGATTGTATCTTGCTAAAGAATTAGAAGTGAAAAATGTTTGCTTTTGAAATGTTTGTTGCACTCATCTTTGTTGTATAATCCATAGACTCTTACATGTGGGTATTTCATTACTTACCTTGAGAGTCATTCAAGTCATCATTATTCACCAATAATGGGTTGCCTTCGCTTGTAAGTTTTATTCTCTCACAAAGGAAATAGACAAATAAGGATTACCAGTTTAGTTGCATCATGTAAATGGTAATGATATTAAACAAGTAAATTTATATTAATGTATTTCGCTAATTAACATAATCTATCATAGATTCATAACCATATATCAACATGTAGAACTGTAATTTTCACTTTGGTGAATCCATTTTCTCCCTTCCCATCATAATACCATCAAAATCATCATTGTTGTCATCATCTCACATAAATTAGCATCATAATTAACCTTTCCAAAATCCCAATTCAATAATTTGATGCTTTTTTTACCTTTTTTTACTTTTGTTGACATTGAGGATCATATCGTCCCATCTTTTCTATCAATAGGAGAAAAAGCAAAAGATAGGGTTAAAGAAACTTTTGCATTAAGTTCTGACTCTGTTACTATTTATAACGAAACAGATATGGAACTGTGGCTAAGGCCAAATAGGAATTGAAGTTTCAAATAATGAAACCATGACAGTTGGGGTTTTCAGTAGGAAGGAAATGTGGTATGCTCACAATAGGCAAACAATACTAACAAAAGTTTGGTGAGTTGATATTAATTAATTTAAAAATTTTGATTTGAGGTCAAAATTAGATATTTAAATTTTTGTATTGTCAAATAATTAATCCATTGATGTACAAACAAAAAAAAAAAAACATGCAAACAATTTTCGTGTGACTCCACTCTGTATTCCATGATTCCATCTGTCTCTGTTTAGCTGTTTTCTAGTATTTTCTTGTAAAACCACTTCCCTTCCATTCCAGATAAGAACTTACAAAAATAGAATCCCAGTGAGTACTTTATAAATTAAATAGTAGCACATTTAATCCAAAGACTGTTGTGTATAAATTTATTATTTTTACTATTCAGTAAGAGTTTCATTCATTTAAAAACATGATGTTGTTGCAGTCTAATGCAGTCATACTGTAAAACGTTATTGTTATTTTCATATTATAATGGTAGTGAAAATCAGCCTAGTAATCATTGTTTTGGTGCTTTTAACCTTGAGGTGCCTCTTGCTCAAGTGCAACCATTGACTTCTTTCTGCTTCCTGATGATGATGATCACTTGATCAGGGATCTACTATTATTCTATCTCAATCATTTCAGATTTAACGCCAAAAAAATAATAATAAAGGTGGATTTAACCCAAAAACTGAAAAGATAAAGAGAAGAGCTGTCCCAAATATTAAGGCCTAAGGATGGACGCCTGTTGCTGCTATGGTTGGCTCGGTTTGCTGAAAAGGCACGCCCTCCTCCTTCACGATTTTATGGGCGTTTCTGTCGTCTTCTGTATTTATTTTATCTTATTTTCTCATTCCTTTATTGATTATGGAGTATGTTCCTGAAGCTGACCCGTCATCCCAGTAACATTCTTCTATTTATCTTCCTTGGTTTTCTGGTTCTTATATATTAAAGTTCATCTTCTTCTGGGTTATTGGAAAGATTCGGTCTTTTTTGTTTGTTGCTGGCAAATCGAATGGCTGCCTGTACGAGGACTTGGGTCTTTGCTCTGTTTCTGGGTGTTTTGCTCGCAGAAATCAGCGTCTGCGTTTCTGCAAAGGTGATTTTGAAATAGATTATGGTGATTTTTGGATTTGTTTTTGAGATATTTTTGTCAGTCTTTGTTTTTTTTGTGATGGGTGTAGGTTCATATAGTGTATATGGGAAGTGCTACCGGTGAAGGCCCAGATGGAGTTCTGAGACGTCACCACCAGATGCTCGCCGCCGTCCATGGCGGAAGGTCTTTTTTTTTTCTTTTCTGTCTCTGTCATCTTTCTTTTTATCTATTTGTTCTGATTTTGACAACATTTCTTTCTTATTGGGTTTTCAAAAACAGCGTCGAGAAAGCGCAGGCGTCTCATGTTTACAGTTACAGACATGGTTTCAGAGGCTTTGCGGCCAAGTTAACCGACGACCAAGCTTCACAAATTGCCAGTGAGCCCATCTTCTTCTTCTCGCTTTTTGTGTCTCCTTTTTGCAAAAGTTTTTCTTTTTATTCATTCCCAATTGAAAACAGAGATGCCGGAAGTGGTCTCTGTTTTTCCAAACTCGAAAAGACGTTTGCACACAACCCATTCTTGGGATTTCATGGGCCTCGTCGGCGATGAAACCATGGAGATTCCTGGGTTTCCCACCGAGAACCAAGTCAATGTAATCGTTGGCTTCATTGACACAGGTCTGGTATTTCTCAATCTTTACGATTCCTAATACTTTGTTTCTACGAATCAATGTTTATTTCCTTATTTGCTTCACTTCAGAAAGAGTAAAAATTAAAATAACATGGGTTTCATTTGAATCCCCAATTGATTCAGGAATTTGGCTCGAATCTCCTAGTTTTAGTGACGCCGGTATGCCTCCGGTGCCAGCCAGATGGAAGGGAAAATGCCAATCTGGGGATGAATTCAATTCTTCATCTTGCAACAGGTTTGTTCATAGTTATGTTCAGTGGCAATCTTTTGATAGAAGAATAGGGGAATGCATCTCATTTTCAGCAAACATATCTTTCATGTAGGAAAGTAATAGGAGCAAGGTACTACAGAAGTGGATATGAAGCTGAAGAAGATTCAACTTATACAGAGTCATTTATATCTCCGAGGGATAGCTCTGGCCATGGCAGCCACACAGCCTCCATAGCTGCTGGTCGTTATGTGAGAAATATGAATTATAAAGGGTTGGCCACAGGAGGAGCCAGAGGAGGTGCGCCAATTGCCAGGATTGCAGCGTACAAGACTTGTTGGGACTCTGGTTGCTATGATGTTGACTTATTAGCTGCCTTCGATGATGCAATTAAAGATGGAGTTCACATTCTGTCTGTGTCTCTGGGTCCTGATGCTCCCCAGGGAGAGTACTTCAATGATGCCATCTCCATTGGGTCTTTCCATGCTGTTAGCCATGGAATTCTGGTAGTTGCATCTGTTGGAAATGAAGGATACAAAGGTTCTGCCATTAATCTTGCCCCGTGGATGATCACTGTGGCTGCTAGTTCAACAGACAGGGATTTTGTATCTGATATTATTATGGAAGATGGTACCAAATTCACGGTAATACTAATTAACTTATTGTGCTCATGTGTTCTTTAAGATTTTGGAGACTTACTAGTTCTATGCCATTGTATAGGGCGAGAGTCTCAGCCTCTCTGGAATGAATGTCTCTGCAAGAATCACCTCTGCTTCTGAAGCCTATGCTGGATACTTTACTCCTTACCAATCCAGGTGAAGCAACAGGTACTTAGAATACTGCAATTCAGGAGTCAACAAAGAGGAAACTTCTGGTTATTTTCTTGTTTTTGTAGTTACTGTTTAGAGAGCTCATTGAACAGTACCAAGGTCAAGGGGAAAGTTTTGGTATGTCGACAAGATGATGGTTCGACAGAGTCAAAGCTGGGAAAGGCCGAGGTAGTGAAGGAAGCTGGAGGAGTTGGGATGATTCTCATTGATGATGCAGATAAGGATGTCGCCATCCCTTTTAAAATACCTTCAGCTATAGTTGGAAGAGTGACGGGAGACAAGATCCTTTCTTACATCAATCACACACGGTTTGTTCTGCAATTTAAGATGAAGATTTCGGTTTCTAGTTTTCAGGTATCTCTGTATTCCTCATTCAGGTCATTTTTTCTTCTAAACAGCAATCCAACCTCGAAGATTCTTCGTGCAAAGACTGTTTTGGGATCTCAGCCAGCACCTCGGATTGCTGCATTTTCTTCAAAGGGTCCTAATTCCTTGACACCAGAAATTTTAAAGGTGAACTAAATTCTCAAGGGCATGAAGGATTGATTCTGTAGTGCTTTGCTCAATTCTCCTTCAGGCCTTTCTACATTTACTCTGTTTCTAACATTCTACTTTGTAGCCTGATATCTCAGCCCCTGGATTAAACATCCTAGCGGCCTGGTCTCCAGCAGCAGTTGGAAAAATGCAATTCAACATCCTTTCTGGAACTTCCGCTGCTTGTCCACACATAACAGGAATTGCAACCTTGGTTAAAGCTGTTCATCCTTCATGGTCTCCCTCTGCCATTAAATCTGCAATAATGACAACAGGTAAATTTTCAAGTTCTATACCATCTTGATAGTATAGATATGGATTTAGATGGTGCTGGACCATCAACTCACATTTTCTTTGGTCCATTGGTTATCTTTAAGAATTGGGTAACTGCTATTCTTTCCTCCTTGGATGAGAATAAAAATAGAAATAAAAGTACTGTTGGAATCTTACTTTTTGGGCTTGGTGAGGTAACGCATGATCTAATTCCATGCAGCAACCATCCTGGACAAGAGACACAAGCCCATCACTGTGGATCCTGAAGGAAGGAGGGCAAATCCGTTTGAATACGGATCAGGTTTTGTGAACCCCAGAAGAGTCCTCGACCCTGGCCTAGTATATGATCTGCATCCAAAAGACTACAAAGCATTTCTCTGTTCCATTCAGTATGATGAAAAGTCCATCCATTTGATCACAGGAGACAGAAGCGTATGTAATGAGACATTACCTACAGCATCCAACCTCAATTATCCATCTATCACTGTGGCTAATCTCAAAGGCAACTTCTCGGTAAAACGAACAGTGACAAATGTGGGGAAACCGGGAAGTATTTACCGAGCTGGTGTGTCTGCTCCTCGTGGCATCAACGTTACCGTTGTACCAAACCGATTGATCTTCAACAGCTATGGACAAAAGATGGATTTCACTGTGCATTTCCAGATAGCAGCTCCAACAAAGGGCTATTCATTTGGATTTCTGTCCTGGAAGAATGGAAAGATACGGGTCACAAGTCCTCTGGTTGTCCTTGTGAGGCCTTCAGAGAAGGGATTGTTGTGATAACTTATATTATTCTACTTATGTACAGGTTAGGAGCTTTGATAATCCTTGCATATACAAGTCACAAGCATCTATCGTCCCAATGCAAGTGCAGACTGTCATAGTCAGCAAAATTCAGAAAATTCGAGCAAAGACCACATGCTTTTAACATTGAATAATGAATCAAACAAGTCACGATTATATATAGTCTGTCTTTGCTTGTCCAGACTTGAAGTCATTCAGCTCCTTCCAGGGTCAAGACTTACTCAATATTGGATGCTCTAAAAAGAGTATTAAAATGCGGTTTTAAGTCTCAAGAACCTTCAATTCAAAACATGTTTTGCACAATGTAATTTTTTGGTGGGTGGATTTGCACGATGCAATTTGATAACAGACATAAAAATAATAAAATATACTCTAGTTGAATAGAAGAGCTAGGTTAATTATTGTCCTAAAGATTATAATATAAAGATACTTACTTTTATAAAAATCAAAATCTATCTACCTGATCATGTTCAAACCTATGCTTTCCTCAAAGCTACCTACTTTCTACTCTGTTTATTCATTACCTGTAAAGGGATCTGTATAATACAGAGACCCCTTCCCCACTGCCATAATTGGATTAAGCACCAACAGAGATCACTGCAAGATCAAGCTGGCAAATTCCCTTTCCTAATACTATATTATTATTATTTTTTATTAGCGCAAGTAGTTCGGGGGAGGAGGATGGGGGAGGAATCGAACTTTTACCATGGTGAAGAAAGTTATATTAAATTACTGAGTCACTAGGTTGGTAGGTCTTTTTTTTAATATTATATTATTTAAACAATACAAAAGTCATTGAATTACTCCTGGCTTTGAATTTCCATACCCAATTTTCCATCAAAAGATTCAAACTTTCTCCCCCACACCCCCCCCCCCCCCAAGGAAAGTTAATAAAAAATTGCTTTGGTTGTGGTTGCAAAAATTCTAGCAAAGTCACAGCATCCAAGACCCAAAGAAAAATTGGTAAATTCAACATCTAGGTAGTTTAACAATCATTCACATTGATGGAAGAAAAACAAAGGCTAATGATTTTATGAGTATGGAAAATTAAAAGTTGAAGAAAAGTAAGCTTTGAATTTAAGGCATAAAGTGACAAAATGTAGGCAAAAATCATACATTATTAATTAAAATTTTTAATTTTTATTTAATTAAATAAATTTTAAAAATTTTAAATTTAAATAATTTAACTTTTTTTTTTTTACAACTTATGTATTGCTTTAATTGCTTATATAGACAAGATATTAATATTTTATTATCTACTTATTAGGTATTAAGTTTATCTATATAAATAAGATATAAACAAGTATTAAACTTATAAAAAGATTAAATTACTTAAATAAATAAATTAAAAAATTTATTTACTTTAATAGTAACCTATTTACTTAATAAAATGTCTAAAATAAGTTTGGGCTTAGTGGAGGGTTTTGACCGAAATGTAAGCTTTTTGAATTGATTTTTTTTTTTTTTAAATAGAAATAACGAGATTCAAACTTCACACCCCTGAATTTATTTAGGTGAAAAAATCTGTAACAAGGGTTGGTGACTATTTTGGTCACTAGGACGTTTTTCAAGCTTTTGGAATTGAATTGAAAGCATAAAGCGACAAAATGTGCATGTCTCACAGTCACATCAACGCGTACCGAGATAATAAAGAAAATTTATTTTCAATTTTAAAATGGAAAGTTGCTAAAGAATAAAGACCTCTCTTTCTTAGATAGAGCACAAAGAAGAATCAGTCGCCCATGACTGCCAGAAGGATATAAAGATTTAATAAATATTGATACCTGCAGCTTCTCCTTCTTCATTGTTCTCTCTAGGAATGAGGCGGCTACTGCTTCTACCACTCCTTATTGGGTCCATCCTGTTGATTTCTGTGGCGCCTGTAGCTGAAGCCAAGGGGGTGAAAAAAGTAGAGTACAGATTCGGACCTTTTACTCATGAGTATTACGACAATTTTACGGTGGTCGGCCCCGGAACAATCAGTAATGATGCCCTTCAGGTGACCCCCGATTCCAGTGGGAACTTTACCCTGACGAACAGGTCAGGTCGGATCTTCTTCCATGAGTCGTTCAAGCTCTGGCATCAAGGTAATGGGGCTAAGAGTGTGGCTTCTTTCAACACCTCTTTTCTCATCAATGTCTACCGCGTCAGCGACGGTGTTCCCGGAGAGGGAATTACGTTCCTGATTGCCCCGGATAAGACTCTTCCTCACGGCAGTGATGGGAAGTACCTTGGGCTGACGAATTCCTCCACCGATGGCAACTCCTCCAACCAGATAGTCGCGGTGGAACTGGATACGTTTGAGGAGGATTTCGATCCAGACGACAACCATGTGGGTTTGAACATCAACAGTGTCCGGTCGAAAAAGGTGCAGTCTTTGTCCCCATTTGGCATCCAAATCTCCCCGAAGGGGACCAAGTTTTATATGGTGTGGATCCAGTACGACGGCCAGAATAAGTCGATTGCCGTGTATATGGCGGAGCAGGAGAACAAAACCTCCCCTGCCCCCTCCCGGCCGTCGACGCCTGTCCTCCGCGCAGATCTCGATATCAGCGAATTCGTCAATAAGAACTCCTATATGGGGTTTTCGGCATCGACGGGGAGCAACGTCCAACTTAACTGCGTCCTCAGGTGGAATATAACAATAGAAAAGCTTCCCGACGACGGAAACAACAAACTAGTAATCGGATTGGCAGTCGGAATCCCGATATTGGTACTATTGATCCTTGGGCTTGTAGGATTAGGTTATTATTACTGGCGCAAGAGACGAAGGGCGTCCGATCCCACCATATTGGGGGCGCTGAAGAGCCTCCCCGGAACGCCAAGGGAGTTCCGGTTCAGAGATCTGAAGAAAGCGACCAACAACTTCGACGAGAAACGGAAGCTGGGTCAGGGTGGATTCGGGGTGGTCTACAGGGGAGTACTGCAGAAAGAGAATCTGGAGATCGCCGTGAAAAAATTCTCGAGGGACAACATGCAAGGCAAAGATGATTTCTTGGCGGAGCTGACCATCATCAACCGCCTCCGTCACAAGCATCTCGTCCGATTGCTCGGTAAGTCCATCCGATTTTTTTTTTTTTCTTTTTTTGGTTTTCCTGTTCCATCATTTGATTGCTTATTTTTTCCTCATCAAAATAATTGCTTTCTCCATTTTTGTCTTACTTTTTTCACGTAAGCCATTAACATTTTCATATAGATTTCAGCAGAAAGTGAAAATCAGGTTTAAGATTTTCTTAATATTAAAAATATTATGATATTTAATTTTACCTATATAAATATAAATTAAGTAAGACTTGTATTAATTTTATTCATTTTGTGACTATAACTAAAGGTATTTATATTTTTAGTAAGGTGGG